AAAGATGTGCTTATTTTAACACAAAATAAGTTTAGCACAGACCCATTGTTTTTATAAAGGAGCTCTCATGATGGAACCTCACCAAAAAAAAAGACAAAGTCAACTTTTTTTTCATACTTACTTAATTTCAATGATACACTATGCAAGAATTATTGCAGAATACCACAAGGGGGTGTTGTAACACCTCCAAAGGTTACTAATCAGATTATTATAATAGCCTCCTATTATGGCACAGTTCTCTTGAAAGATGCGACTCTCAACCAATTTACTTGGGGGGGTTGTTTGTTTTTGGGTAAGTTTTGTTGTTATTGCTTTTTGAGTATCACCTACTTTTTGTTTGTTTATCCTAATTAAATTCTGAAAGGAAACACTTGGCTCCAAGACATGCATTCTTAACAAAACCATCCATAGCTCTAACTTCCAATGGTGTTTTGAGACCAGAGGGCTGATATGTAAGATGTTTGCTCTAAAAAAAAAAAAAAACCTCGTTAAAAATTAGATTTCCCTTCTGATCATTTCTTAAGAGAGCTATATGTTTTCCTCCAATCTAGTTTATGCATTCTTTTCCTTTGCTTAGTTATACTTGCTTTAATCAGCTTAAGACTCCTTCACTTCTTCTGTGATCAACAAGACAACTACATGGAATGCTCTACCTACAGAAAGGCAAAAATTCCTCAAATTCCATGGAACTTCTTCCCTTGCTTGATTTGGAATTGCATCCACATGGGATGCTATTCCAAAATAAGGCTGGGCATGATTTTAACATGCTATAGCTACTCTGGCACCACTTTCTGTATGGACACTAATTCTTGAATAGATTGTTCCACGTAGGGAGTTTGTTTGGGTTTTTTAAAAAACAGATGCTACATAAAAAAAAAGAAGAAAGAAAAGTATCCAAATACAGTTATGTCTTATGTTAATCTACTATTCACAGTGATTTTTTATTTTTTGTTTACAACAGTGAATTCAGAGAAGGAAGTGTTTTCATTCCTCCTCATCTAAGGCAGACAACAGGAACATAGGTTATGAAGTCTCATGCCTTATATAATCAGTTGGGTGCACACACCACAACATAGTAGAAAAACAAGTAATTTTATATCAGCAGAGCTGCTGTTCAGGGAGCAAACTGTCATCTTTTCTGATTGTGTAAGTATTCTGCTCTGTGACAATGTAAATTGCTACTGAATATGATTCATAGCAGAATGTGGAAATATAAAGTGAATTGTTTGCTTATGAAGCAATAGGAACAAGGCAAAAACACAATATAAAGGAAAAAGTTAGAATGAGCATTACATAATGGGAATAAATTTAAGCCCTGTAACTCACTTCACCAATTAGCAAACCTGCGGTGTTCTTTCTAGATTCTATTTGTATGTACATGTATACACACACCGCGCATATGTATATACATCTGTGTGCCAACGCATGCTTGCATTCACACACACACACACACACACACACGCACGCACGAGCTGGTCAGAAAAACTGAGGAAACATTTTTTGTTTAAATCTGTTAATGTATTGACAATTAAGTTTCTGGGGAGAGGGAGTTCTCTTCTTTTGATAAAATTCTGCTGGAAACCAGGCTGGTTTTCATTTGCCTAGCCACCATCATCAAACCCACTTAATTCCCGCTCAGCAGCCCATCTGGCAAGCCACTGGGGAAGCTAGACTTCTAGCCTCCCAGTTTCTTTCTGGCCTGCTTGGAGCCTTGAATTCCTAGTTTACAAGCTCTCAGGACATTCACAATTTGGCAGCATAATCTCTCAAACTTCTCCAATGCCTACATAGCTGGCTAAGAACAGCTAAACTCCCTTTGAGGCAGAATTTCTGGAATTTTTCATTTTTATTCCAAATCCTAAAGAAAAAAATATTGAAATCTAGAAATCTTCTTCAAAATGGATTAGAATCTTCTCGCATCTTTAATGCACATCCACGCACCCAGTATAGTCTTTAATACTACAGGGCTACTATACATTTACATGTTCTGGACAATCTAAGCTTCTTATTCATTTAGAAAGTGATAGCTCAAACAAATGTCTTCTTCTCTCCAGTTCTGAACAGGATGCTGAACATATAGGCATACTATCGCAAGAGAAGGTAAAAACTGTCCTTTAAAGCAAGAAATGGGCTTGTTGGACAATAACAATCATTTCAAATAAATTCAAGACCCTCAATTTACCCCCAAAAATATTTTAATAGAAAGAAAAATGAGAAAAAGAAGGGAGAGGCAGGGCTGAAGGTAAGAACTACTCTCCAAAGGAAGGACAGAGCCAAAGAATCAGATCCATTACAAATGTTTAAATTGAGCTTTCCCAAGCACCAATGAGAGATATATAGGGACAGACTCCTTGACAGAAAGCATGAAATTAGACCTGGTGCACTAGCAGATCCTTCCATCCTAAGAAGTCTGGTTTACTAGTTAGTACTAAGATACCATGACAGTTCAGTAAATTATTTTTATGTATCCAAATAGAAGCCTATTTTCAATGTATTGTTTAACAACAACAAATGCCGTTGTGGGGAGCTCGGGGGTCCCTCTTCAAAAGATGCAGGATTGCCCTTGCCATGGTGTCAAGTTAGGTCCTAATTCTGGAGTCACATTCACACAGGTCTGCACCCTGCTCCCCCCCGCCCTTTCTGAAGTTGGACACTCCTGCGAGTCAAACAAACACAGTGACATACAATATAATAAACCTCAATTTCGACCCTGAGCTTGGCTGCTCCTAGGGTCTCTCTCCAATATTACCACTGTCCTAAGTCCTTAGGTGCCTGTCCCTAAAGAGATGTTCTCCAATATGTTATCCCAGAGTAGCACTAACAACATGTACCTGTTACAGTGACTCAGAAGAATGTCACCAGCTTACTGCAAGGAGCTATCAGCAAAAGCTAACCTAAAAACTTGGTCATCATCTTCAGCAACCAACATGCCCAGGGCTCATTTGTTTTTGTTATCACCTGCTCAACCAGTCAGTACATAACTTCAGAAGTCTCATGTTCCTGTTAGTACTTGTTCTCTGTTATATTATTTTTGCCATTGGTCCATGACTCACTGAGGACAGCGTCCAGGAAGCAAAGAAAGCAGCACCAATTTCTACCAAAGGCATATGGTGAAAGTGATGGACAAGGCATTCCTCCCTGCTGTTCCACTCTTGCACCAACCAGCTCACTGGTGTTTTCAATGCATTTGTGCAGTACCTCATGAATTTGATCTAGGTAGTCTCTATGTGCAGTATAAATATTAAACAATAATAAAGTATTGGGGATTGGAGCAAGGGATGCATCCAGAAGTTGCATAAACAGATGATCCAAATGAGATTTGCCACCTGTAGCAGCTTAATTGTGACTATACTCAACTACATGGATATAACCTCAGTCCATAATATTGGACATCGTCTCCCCTTCTAACTTCACAATGTCCAAACACTACTTGTCAATTCTGGACCAAATGTCCTAGGTTTTAAGTGTTTTTGTTTAGAAATACTATAATTTGTTCATACTTATGTTTCAAGTAATGCAGTGAATGTATACCTATGCCTGTTTATATAGATACACACATACAATTGCATACACAAAATCTGCACACTTTAATCAATGACACCTACTTCCACAATTTCTATTCCCCACACTGCAAGCATCAGATCGATAATTTCTGAGATTTTTTTTCCCACTAATCTTGTGGTAGTTGAAGAGACTTCTATTGACTTCTACCACCTCTTGATCTAGTTTTTTAAATTATGTGATTTCAAAGAGCTCCTCTGGAGACCAGACCTATCTACAAAGCCAAATCAAATGCCAAAATGTGAGCATCTCTATCAAGAGCAGATCTTGCCAGCCTCCGACAGACATGTGAGGGGTCTTTACCTTTCTGTCCTTCTACCTGGCCAATACAGCTTTACTGAAATAAACTGGACTTGCCAACCAGACTACCCAGCAAAATTATGGTACGAGCGTTGCAGGCCAGCACTCCCACCAGGCTCACTCCACACATTCTATCTTCTAAACTAGAAGCAGGGAGAGGCCTTAGTACAATGTGTTATCAATAAGCATTGCAAGATTTCCAACCATTTAGAAAACTATGCCCCCTCCTGGGGTAACCATAACCACATATGGAGATCAGACTGACTTTATAACGACTTACAGAGATAAAAGCACCATTCTCCACTGGTAGTGATGTTGAATCTCTTGCACAGTAATCTCAAGATCCTATTCTCTAGGGAAGTACAGCAGAGGAAAATATTCCTGATTACAAAGTAAGAAAGATGTCAAAACACCTCTACAAAGGAGCACTGACAGTAATGAAAAGGAGGCGGCGGCGAGAAAAGAACAAAATCTGCCTCTGAACTTCAGACAGTATGTGTCACCAGCCAATTAGCACAAAGAGAAGTTCAACAGTAATAAAATGTCATACAAAGCATTCACCAGAACCCTACATCCCTCATAACAAATCGCTGAGATTAAAGATACTTTCTCTTTACAAGGTTCAGAGAGAATAAAAGCTACAGAAAGAAAAAGAAGCAAAAAGGAAATTGCAAACTATTTCAGGAGTAAAAAAACCCAAACAATATATACACACGAACACCAATAAAATTAGACCTGAAAAAGGAAAGAACATGTTTCCTCCACCCCCAAATGCAGGAAAGAGTCAAAATGAGATAACATGTGGACCTCCTATGTAGATCAAGTTTAAATGCCGGGTTAAATTCCGTACAATTTAGAATATTTTAAAAGTTTTCCTTTATAAAAGCAAAAACAAATGTACAGCACTTAAACCATAAAAAGAAAAAATAGACCACCAAAACCGTACTCTTGACCCTCCCCCACACCCTTTTTTAAAAAGATGTTATGATGAGGGGAAAAAAAACTTTAAAAAAAAATAAAAATTGAAGTTCATGTTTTCCCTTCCTATTATGAACCTCAAAAACTGAGATTCCCTCTCAGCCTTCAAGACTATTACAAAAATAAATAGCAAAGTAACAAAATACTAATAGAGAAAGTGGAGCATGGGAAAATGGAAATTGTGTTGAGGTTATGTCCATATGGTAAACTAAGGATCCGTGACGCTAGCACAAGCAGTGCTGCCATCTCTGTGCAGGCCAATCGATCAGCAGTCCCAACTGGCACTGCCACTCAGCACTGCTAATTAGCTCAGCCACACAACCACCCTCCTCCTCAGATGCCTCTTTAGCATCTGTCCAGGGCAGAGTATGCTTAAGCATACTATCCTACGAACTGCCAGTTTATAATATTCCCTAGTTCAGACTGCTTAAAACTCTTGGTGCTCTTATTTTCTTTTGGGTATGAGCAGCCTTCTGGGTTGGGTTTTTTTGTTTTGTTTTGTTTTAAACATTTACTTGGCTTCAATGGCCAGTTAACAATTGGAGAAAGGAATCCAGGTTCCTCTATGCCCCAATTCCTCAAATAAGGTGGGGTCTCCCAACGGTCCTACAGGAAAACCAAGAAAAACTAGAATTCACGTTCTTCATTTTTCTGGCTTTGAGATACTAATAATGCTTGGTTCCATCTGCTCAGCAAAAAAAAAAAAAAATGGTGACAGTGAGAAGACCCATTTTATATGGGCACTGCGGGAGTTAGATGCATCCAGATGAGTTGAGTATTTACGAAGTCCTTTCTACTAAGTTTTTCTGGTACTGTTGGTTGTTCAACATCTGCAGCACTCCCCACCAGTCCAAGCATTATCCCCTGTATCTAGAACAGTGCAGCTACTGCAAGAGGAAACTATCCTTGTTCATGGACAGGACTTTCTTTCCTTCTGATAGCTCCAATGTATCAAGCACATGGATCCATTACATGTTGTGTGAGACAACTGATCAACCTGGCCCTTCAGTCCCGATTGTGTCGGATCATAACTCACAAATATTAATGCATGTGGATGAGGATTGCGAAGTACTTGTGGATTCAACAGCATAAAGCCATATACACCTCCCAAAGTCTGGCACTGTTGGATGTACAGCACGTCAAGGAATTCTGGATGGGAGACATCCGTGCTGCTGTTCTATACAGTTTAAAAATGGTGTCATCTTCATTGCCAGGTGGTTCTTGGGAATTTTAAGTGACTGAAGCTAGGATCAAAAACAAGGTTTCCAGGTGCCCTCCTCCAAAATTCCCACACAGCACTTTGACAGACATCCCACACTACTTGTTGGAAAGTAGGGCTGCTGCCCCCTCGTGTGTTCCAAGTTATGCCCTGCTTAGTTTGAACCGACAAAATCAGGACAACTGAGTGCTAAACACGCCTTTGTTAGCAGGTGTACCAGTGCTATTTGATCCCACTTTTTGGTCCCAATCTTACCCTGTTTGTTGTTCAAGGAAATAAGCAGGAAAAAAGACACAAACATTAAAAAGAGGCATGATGCCTTTTTCTCCTTTTAAGTAATACTCTTCAGATAACCTTTAAACCTCTCCTATTTATATGGACTACAGAGGAAATTATTTGAAGCAAATTACCTTCTGCATATGCAATTTACAATTAATACACCACCATGACAGGGGAACAAATTGCCTCACTTATTGCAGATGCTCAAGAAAACAAACACCCCTCCCAACACTGCTTAGACTGCAAGGAAAAACAAAGCTGCTCATTTAATCCTAAACAAGAAGGTGCCTGTTCCCCAACCAGGTCTCTTTAACTGGCTTTATCATTAGTGAATTCCACATTTGTTTGCTTGATCATTCACTCAAAGCATGTGCTGCATTTCCAGATCCACGCATCCATACATTTTTAAAGAATCCTTAGGGAATGCACCAGTACCTCCCAAATCTTAAATTCTTCCCCTACTTCAAACTGTTCTAAAAACATTAAACTGATCTTGGACTTTGATAGAACACTTTAAGCTGCCTCCACTACTTTTAAGCCTTTAGATTTTTTTTTTTTTTTGAGTTTCAGACTCTCTCAAAAATACACACGCACTATGGAGGCCAACAAGGACAAGGGAGCAAGGTACAAGAAAATGGCAGACTCAGGAAAGGAAGCACAGTGGCCTGTGCTCCCTCACTAAAGCACAACACCTCAATCAGTGTACCTGAACTATGTCAAGTCCCACAGTTATAACCCCATAACCCTAGAATCATACCCACTAATTAAACTGAGAGTTGGAGGAGGTAGAAGGACTCTCCACAGCTGGAATGCTCCCACCCACATCACAAGATTTGAAAGCCTGGAAGAAAAAGTAACAAGCACGAGGAAAATACAGAGAAGTTCACATTTTTAAACAAAAGACTGATTTAGGATTTTTTGTTTTGTCGTGTTTTCTTACCAAAGAGAGAAAAAAACCCAAACCAAATGAGATTCCCTCCTCTCCACTCAGCACACACAGCTTTGATAGTTTAAAACAGGGGAGAAACTTTTATAAATAATTTCAACTGCCACGTTTCTTCTTCCTGCATCTCTTGACACTTCACAAACTGCTAGTCTCCACTGCCTTTCCCTGCTCTCTTCTCTTGGTTGATAAGAAAAGGATAATACTAACCAGAAAGAGGTTGTACTTATACTTCAACATCAGTGTTCACATTTGGATCTCTTCCAGAAGAGCTGTTCCACTTTCAATTCACCTTCTACCTATTGCATAACAACCTTCACATATAGATAAAACCATACAGTGAAATACAATGATCCTGACCTTACAGGGCCTTGAACCTTACACCTATGCAAAGCAACGACACACTGGACGCAAAATGTTACCATGCTGAGACAGCACCATTACACCCCATCTTGGACAGGTCCATTGCACTTGCAAATTGGTACAATAACTTTAAATCTGCCAGGGCCTCTTTTACATACCAGAAACAAAAGAAAAAGACACAAATACACATTTTGAGCTTTGTAGGTCCTCTTTAAATAATAATTCTAGGAAGCTTATATATAACCCAAAGCTGGGCCCCAAGGTAAAAACAGTTTATTCAAACTATAAACAAATGGGTACAATAGTATAAACAAAAAACTATTTTTAAGCGTAACACCTCTTCATTGTGATTTTTGTGATAATGGTATTAAAATGGACAATGAGAATAACTATTAAGAGGAAGTAAGAGTAACCCAGTAAAATTTATCCTTGTTCAAAAGCAAAACACAGAATTTTAAACAAACACTTAAAATGTGCCAACTGAAGTTAATTTTTGAAGAAAATATGTCCTTGTTTGTAACAGAAGAATTTTTAATGCATTACATTTACTTGTATAGTGGCTTTTCAAAGCAAATGGCTTGATGATTCATGTATCTATCTGGTAAACTCTGTATGTAACCTAGTACTAGACCAGTTCCAATTACTGCAGTTTGCAATTTAACTCCTACAAGTTGCTGCTGCTCAGATACCTCATATACCTCTATACCTCAATTATCTGAAAACTAAAAAAAGTTAATCCCTTTATTTTTAAGTTTGATAATGTTTTTATTTAAAATTCATACTGTACCAGGGTTTGTGAAATCTGGATATTCTGGATATGTGGAATCAGTAAAAAAGCATTTGATAGCTGTCCTCTAGATTCTTCTGGAGAAGTTTTCAAGGTTCCCATTCCACACACCTGTTGTAAAACAGTCCATTGTACCAAGAGCTGATAGTTAGGAAATTACTTCAGGCATAAAAACTTTGATTTACTAACAGTACTTCAAGAAACCAACTAGCTTTTGACAATTATGTGAAAAAGCTGCAGTAAAAATAAGAGCTCCCCAAATTAGAAAGTAACTATAACTCTATACATAAAATGCACTTTTCTGTAGTTACTCACTCAAACACTCTGTGTCTATAATAGAAGGGCAACCACTAAAATAGCATGTGAACATCCTCACAAGTTTAAAAAACTGAATACCAAGCTCTATCCCTGTTTTTGAGCCAATTATGAGACAGTACATGGGAAGCTGGTAATGATTCTTGCAAAACGTAATCACAGTATCAGACATCTCTACCCAACTTTTCTGTCAAAAAGAATGCTTGTGAAGACAACACATTTCAGGCATCATTTACAATTAAGCAGCATAACATGAAAATAAATTTTAAAAAAAGCATGCGACTTAAATACATTTTGTAAGCTTCGCTGTTCCCAGATCATTAAAAAGCGTAGGGTGGAGAATGAGTGATGTCACACTTTTACCACCACTTTATGTTGAGCATAGTTTTCTGTAACATTGTTAGTAGGGAGAAGCGCACTGGATGTGATGGTTGTAGCTTCACAGTACAGTAAAATGTATGATTTTTTTTTAAACCTCAGATAACTGCAGGATGAAATTAACACATGAGGAGATGTTACAATGGTAAGATATGAATTTTTTCCACACTTAATGATAATCCACTGCCACTACCATAGGGGGGGGTTTAAAGATGATTTTACTGTTTGGACCTGCATGAGATATTTTAGTCCCCTGCATTCATTCAACTTTTACATTGGCAGAGACAGAAAAAAACAGTAACTCCAACACCACCTACGTAAGTGGAGAAACAAAAATATTTACACCTTTCAGCAATGTCATAGGTAAGTCAGGAGGGCCATCAGTCTCTTGTAAAATCAAGTTCAGAAAATAATTTTCAGTGGCTTATATTTCTTTCCTTCTACTATTGTTTTCTGTTTTACTTTGGTTAACTGATGCACAGAGAAATCTTAAATATTTTTTAAGTTGAAAAAAATGTACTTACTCTCCTGTAAATGGAAAACACGATGGGTTTTACAAAAAGTTGTGTGTTCTCCTCATAGCTGATATTAAAGACAAAGTTTCAGCTCAAAAGGGACATATTTTCTTTCTCTGTCTTAACAGTTAAATTTAGCAAATCTAAACTACACACCTCTCTGAGACAGGCCGAATTAACTATATGTACTCACTGAAATGTATGTATATGCAAGACAAAATTATTATATACATTTAATGTCCTTTACGTTGTCTCAGAACTTCATAATTCCTCTTGATACACAGGGGTTAGGCCTAGTCTAGAAACTGTGACTGTGATGGTAAAAATAAAGTACTTACTTTATTAGATTTAAAGATGGAGGTCATAAAAAAAAGAGATTCGAACTGATGAAATCCTCCTAATACTAGTATGTTACTAACTTCAGTGGAGATGCAACCACAGATAGTTTAATAAGTTTGGCTGCACTGGCAATTCAAATAGGTAGTGATTATACAGAACACTTTTCCTTCCACATGTCCACAAAAGATGCTAGCAATGAATAAATGAGATGAACCTGACCCAAAAAGCAGGAAAATAAGTCACCAGAGAACAGCTTGCTCCTTGCTTCCCTAAGATAGTGGTCTTCACCATACGTGGAATCAGGCTCCAATAGCTGCCAGAACACTAGCTTCATATGTGACTAGATTGTAATCGACCTACATCTAATTTTTTAACTATTTTATCCCCCTAAAACAGTGTCATAGTAAGGAAGTGGCATAGTGGAGACAAGATTTAAACTGGCGTTATTTTTAAATCAGGAAGAAACTGAATTTTAAAATGATACAAATTAATAAATGTAAAGGAAAAACTTCAGGCATATAACCTGTTTAAAATAAAACAACTTACTAAAGATGTGGTGAGGTCCCCTAGTAAACAGAGTATCAAGAGTTCATGAATTATGACTTTCTCTTTAGCTTTAAAAGAACCCCAAAACTGCCAAGTCTTACTACCTCCCATCCTGTGTGACACCACAGAACTTATACATCAAAAAACCTCAGTGCAACTTGAAATATATTCATCCTGTTCCAGAAGGCTGTTTCCTAAATACTTTTCATACATGTACCCCCCACCCCAACTGTGGTTGCATCCCATAGCATGGAACCAACTATTAGTGGTAAGCCAAGGATACAGACCACAATCCTGTAAGCACTTATGCTCCTGCGTAATTTTACTGTTATGAGCGGTTTCATTAACTGTGTGTTTGCAAGGCCAAGGCGTTGGGGGGGGGGG